TATTCAATGTTCAGCAACATGTTTAAAAACTACCATATGACTGTCATGTTAATTATTATAAATAAACTCAAAATAAAACTACTTCTGATCTGTAATACTGTAGATGATATAGAAGTGTTAAAATGTACTGATATAATAGGTCATTTTGATTAATGATATTACAGTTTTCAGTATACTTTCTGTTATACTATCAAATGCAATTTTGTTTCTAAATCAACCTAATCATATTTAATCCATGGCAGGTAAATAGCCTAAGCTAACTTCTTAAAAGAAAAAGTGCAATAAATAAAAAATTACACACACACAGCATATGTAACTAATCTAAGCATATTAAACCACTGGAAACACAAAATAGAATAGCAAAAGTTCTACAAATGAAGAAACAAATCCTAAATTAATGGAGGTAAATACTCCTCCAAAGCCCAAGATATGACAGAAATACTACATGTTACAAATGATTATTCTTAACAACTGAAAGAATGAGTACTTCATTTTTAATTGGCTCAAAAATGAAATATACTTGCAGCAAAGCTACTAATTTTCTACTGACCAGTGGGAAGGCAGCCAGTCAGCATCATCCCATCACACAAACTAAGGGGCTGATTATCACTACTATAATGCAAACAGAGCTAAAAGTGCAGGGAACACTTTGTGGTATAACATGGATTTGAAGAGAGAAAATTAATGATGGTCTTAGAAGTGTAAGCCATCTGGTATCCTTTCTTTGGGAGAAAAAAAAAGACCCTACTGACAGACTGAACACATTTTCGATTTTTTTTTTATTTCAGCTTCTGTTATATTGAATACTAATATCTTGTTTATTGTCCTAGAAGTGCCAGTACTGTGGGTTTTTGGGTATATACGTTTTTTCTTCTTCCTAAAACATATTTTTTATACTAATTTCCTAAAGATTTTTAATAAATTGCTGTGAATTGTAGCAATATATATAACACTATATACATATTAAAAAATGTTACGTTGGTTCACTTGTAAAATTAACAGACGTACAGTGAGAAATGAGAACTTGTTTTCCCTAATAGAAAGATAGAACATTTTTGTTTAGGAGAGGTTTCGTTTGCTTCAGATATTTGTGTAAAGCTACGCAAGGGCTATCTTAACTAGCATCCCTAATTTTGACTTGCTGACTATAAGAAAGGAAAGCTAGTCAACTGTACTCAATGCCAACTCTTGGGCTACTCTAATCAAATAGTGGGATTTGACTATCACTCTTATAACATATAAGAGCCTATAGCTCAAAGTGCAGAGTGCCATTTTGCTGCTACAAAAATGAACCCTTGGATTCACAATCTGGTCATGTATAGAGATCAATACGAGTATAAAAAATATTATGTTTGTCATGACAAAAATTTATAGAATTAAATATTTACTTCATGTCTATACTTTTTATACATTAGGTCTGCAATGATAAGGATTACAGACACCAATAAAGAAGAAGAGCCCATAAACATCATACTAGAATGTACCTGCCTGTCAGTTTTGTAGTTTACTTTAGAAGCACTAGCCTAGCCTAAAATTCAGTAAGTAATGATGCAGTAAAAATGCCACAAAATTACCATTTTTAATACTGAAAAGTAATACTGAAGGTGTGTAACATATTCAAACAGTACATAAGAAGAATAGACATTAAAGTAAATATCTTAATTAATAATCAAGTTATTCAAATACACTGAAAAGTTTGATTAATACACAGGTGATATTACTGTATTCACAACATATACTTGTAATATTAAAACAGCCTAGAAAATAAAGATGCATCACTAAAGGACCTCAAATTAAAAAATTATTTTCTGACAGCATAAAGATATTACTTAATATTATACACTAAATGCAATTTTAACACAGTTAAGATATTTTCTCAAAAAATTACCCAATTTAAGCATTTAAGACAAGCTGTTTTAGGTGTGTCAATGACTAAAAATAAAATATAAGTTATAATTCTCCTTATAAGACTTTACCAATACATGAGAGTCTAAATTATAGATGGGCAACTTTGAGGTAGTAGAGGATTATCAGTTCTGTTTAAAATCTTCAACAGGCAATACATTTGTTTTAGTCACCTGCACTTTGAAAGTCAGCATTTTCCTACACTGAAAATATATTTCTGGTAGATACTTACCTCTCTTCTCACAAAATAGCTTTTCTCAACTAGCGCTACCCTCAGTCGGTGTAAATTTACAATGCATGCCACTAGCCTTCCACCTCCTACTTTTGCATATCCACCTGCAAATGATCATACAACAGCTCTCTACCAATAGAAGCATGACAAAACTCCCATCATAACCGGGCCCTCTTTACATCTGCACTGGTTAATCGCTTCGAGCTTGGTCAGGAGCCCTACACCCTATATCATCTCAGGTGGGGAGGCTGGGTGGGAAATGTGAGGGGGGTAAGTATCGGAAATATATTTTCAGTGTAGGAAAATTCTAACTTCTTACATGATATCTTACCTCCACTCACAAAATAGCTAGAATCCCACACTGAACAGGTGGAGGGCTAATAAAAAAAACATTATCCCCCTTTAGGAACACCAAAAGAGAGACCAGGAAGTGTGAAACCAAAAGATAAAACATCACATATACTCCAGGTATACTCTTCGCAGCTTTTATGACCATGTTGCGAACATAAAAGGCTGAAAAACATGAAGAAATCCCAAAATATGTATGACTGATTAATGGGACTTATGAGTGTTGAGTGGCTAGTGCGCAACAGACCGTAGTAGTACTTCGACCTCCTCCAAAACCAGGTTAAATCTGTAATGAGACATCAGATCTGTAGTAGGTAAAGGATCACCTACCTCTTTACCTCGAAATGGAAATTGGTAGGGAAGATGAGCTTCCGTACCAAAATCTTTCTCCATTTGCATGCATTTCCAACCCAACCAACACCAGATCCACCAGGATTTGACATCTTTCAGATGGTAAGAAGGTGGAAAAGACCTGGCAGAATGACATCTCCAGTCCAAAGCTTGACAGCAATGGGTATGGTACTTCCAATCCATGGTAGGAGGAGTATATCCAGCCATACACAAGCAAGAAAATGTGCATCCAACATCCAGCAGATGGTAGGAAAATGGACTGCAAACCTGGGTTGCATCTCCAGTCCAAAACCTGGTAGCAGTGGGCATTTGTCATCCATTCTGCAGTAGAAGTAGGGATACCAGCCAGCACACATGAGGACTTACTTAGCTGAACCATCTCCAACCAACATCGGACCCATCGGGAATGTACATCCAGTGGCTATGAACTGATAAGTGGTAAGAACTCCCATACTCCAATATAAGAAAGGAGGGGGGGGGGATTCACTGGAGATTCTAGAAAACTGCATCACAGGAGACAGTGCAATGGGTGACTGTAATACCCTAGTGTGAAAAACAGAGCTAGCACGTCAACGGAGTCGATCAACTAAAACCAGGCAGAATCTAGAACTGTTCATTAGATCAATGTCAAAGAGCATCAGAGATGGGCAGCAATCTCTATCTGCTTTACTCTTGTTAGTCCATGAAAGAACTACTAGCAGTCCTATGGAACATCCCATCTCTACGAAGTGCATAAACCAAACCTACGATGTAATAGTTTTGTCATAGATAAAAATAAACGGGAGACACATAACCAACACATGGCGGCATCTGGAATTGTACATCAGGTCCGTGGTATGAAGGGATACAACATAACTGACATCTCGCATTGTTGCAGGATGGATAGTGCAGATTTTCAAAAAAAAAGTATACCTGGTCAGGTACCACTAGCCACAGAGTGCGATCTTCTCACAATACCAAAATGGGAAAATGTAAATGAATAGTAAAAAACAAACAAAGTCCACAAACAAAATCCAGCACGTCTGTACATTACTACTGCCAATCGAGAATTGATTAATGAATACTGATGTGAAGAGGGCACTTGTTACGATAGGAGTGGTGTCATGCTCCTATTGGTGGAGAGCTGCTGCATGATCATTAGCATGTGGATATGCAGAAGTTGGAGGTGGAAGACTATTGGTGTGCATTGAAAATTTGTGTTGATAGAAGGCACTGCTAGTCGAGAAAAGTTATTTTGTGAGAAGAGGTAAGATAGTGTCGGAATGAGGCTTTCTGCTATGGTAATATCAAATCTATAGCCTAGGGATTTTTTGCAAATTAACAAAAAGTTATAAATATGCGTTACAGAATTCACAATCACCATAAAACTACAAAAACCAAATTTCTTACTCTTTCTCACAAGTTATTAATATATTTCACACAAACCATCAAATAATGTTAAATTTGTTGAAGTAAGTTTAAAATAATTTTTTTCATAAACATTTCCATAAGATACTACAACATAACAACTTGATTGAACATTACCAGTGCTTACAGTTAATATGCCTGTTAGTGGGTCAAATAAAATTGTCTGGCAAGCAAGATGAAGCACCTGGTCCACACGTTGTGTATTTCTAGTCTACATATTCATAGAAATGTGTATACTTTTTACCTTACAAATACTCCAATATCAAGAAATTTTGCACATTTTTATCTGTATTTTCTAGATTTGATCAGCAAATTGTCAACTAGTTTCAAACTTTTGATAATTTAGTGTATGGTCTGTGAATGTGCTTTGTTCTTATGATCAAACTTAATAATAAAAAAAAAGAGAGAGAGAGAAAAAGAAAAAGACAGCATCTCACAAATTAGTTTTGTAATCAGTGAAAAGATGATTATCATATTCTCAATATTTAGTGGTTAAAACTTTCCTGCTATATTCTTTATATCATTTTGAAAAAACAAATCAATAGTCTCAGGAAATTTGCAATACATAATATTGGATATACTTTATACTTACTAAGAGCATTAGCATATGTATAAAAATTTGGTATTTTATCAGTACTGTCATCCAAACATTTTTCAATTTCAGGAACTAAGCAATCTAAATTTTAAAAAATATCTTATCCTCTTGCTTATGTTAATTGTAACAAAATTAAAATCAATTTGTTAACATACCAAAATGAAATGAAATAGCAAAAATTACTGTAAAGGTAAGAAAAATATGTGGTCAGTGTTTTAGCAAAACAACTTTTTCAATGAAGGATGTCTGAATAAAGCATTAACAGATTTATTTCGTTTTAAGGCCATTTTTTTTGTAGTTTCTTTGACTTTCGAGATTTTATAAACATAATGCTGAAATATTTTATAACACGATTCTACATACATCTGAAGTATCTGACAGTACAGCTTTATTCAGTAAAATATAATAATAACAAATCTACTAAGTTTGATCTGTGGTCTGTATGATCTTCTGGAAGGTAAAATGTTTACATCAAGAAGTTTTATTTTTCCCATTCACACAAGGAAATATCCCAATTACCTCTGAAACTACCTTCAACAACTGTCATCAGAATAAAACAGTTTCAAAAATGGAATTTCAAAAATATTAATAATTACAGCATTAACGAACATATTTTACCCATTCAAGCTCACTGCATTTTAGTATTTTATCAGTAGATTTTAATTTACTCCATTAATTTAGCTTTCTTTGCAGTAGGTGACGATTCAGAGTCTGAAATTTCAGAACTATTTTCCTCAGTTTTTTCTTCTCGTGCCTCAAACTTTCGTTTTTTTGAATGAAAAGAAGTTTCAGAATCAGAAATGGAGTTTTCAGATGGCAGAGAGAAAGTACTGTTACAAGAACATGCCATTGCTTTAAAGATTAATGGAGGAAGTTCTGGATTCTTAACAGAAGGAAGTATTTCGGGCCCAGGGTCAGAGATGCACGAGTTCTTTTTACAAGACAAACCACTTGAACTTGGTCCTGGATCAGCTACACAAAGAAGAGGATTAATGCAACAATGAACTTTAAGTTTGTTACTTTCTTGATTACAAAAAACAGCATTTCTTCTTTTCATCGGAACTTGTGAAAATGGAGATGTTTTAATTTCTGGTAATTCATCATCAGTATGATCCTCATCCTGCTCTTCAGAGCAGTTTTTTACCTGGTTTTGCTTGCTAGATTTGCTTTCAACAGAAGTGGATAACTGGGAATGTTCACTATCTGAAGGACACTTGTTTCTTTTCAATTTCTCAGGAAAAGTTTTACCTGCAAGGTTTGAAATATTAATCTTATTTGGAATAAAAATACCAGGTTTTGATTTATTCTTCACAGCTTTTTTAGAGCAATTACAAGACGAGGATATTTTTGCATTATAACTACGCATTCCAGCTGAAGAAGTATAACACTTTGAAGTCCAACATGAAGTTTCTTGTGAATTTGTTGCAATGCTACCTTTAGTATGACAACAGCCATGATAGAGTCGAGGTTGAATCTTGTTTAACAGTTTTTCACTATTTTCAACATTCAACTCACAGCTAGATTTTTTATTATTACTGTTAACATCAGCACTACAGCAGTGTTGCGAAGTAGTAGCAGCACCCAAAAGCCAATCCAAATTGTTTTCCAGAAAGCCACTGAGTCCTGGTGGTAAAGCCAAAACATCTAAAACTCCTAAATCTGATGGAACAATTTTTCTTAATGCTACACAGCACAAGTATTGGAGAGAAGTGTTAAAAGAGCGAGTTCGGATAACTTTCATCCCACTTCGTGCAGCTGTGGAGGAAACCATCGGAAATAACGTTTTCCCTTTCAAACCACTACATGCCACACCTGGAAATACATAAATTCAAATTTAGAATATAAGAAAGATCTAATAATTATTATTACATTTTCTTATATAGTTTATAGACATTTTAATCACTAAAACTTGGTAAAAAAATTGATTAACAGCACAAAATACTTGCAAGATCTAATTATGATGTTTTTATAACTGTTCATTTTCACAAACTGTAACTTTATGCTACCTTAGTAAATTTTATCATCTGCAGGAAACATAGCAGAAGACTCCATGTATTCTGGTAAACAATAAGCCAAGTGTAAATTTGCTTAACATTAGTGATTTTGTATTATTATTATTTTTTATATGAACACTTCCTATCCATGAACAAATATGTACATTTTTCCAAATAGCTATAAATTTCTTCTATTAAAATGAAACACTTAAATTCACTAGATTACCATTTCTTTTAATGAACACTTGGTAGTATTAAAAATAAACCAAGTTTAATCTTACCCAATGGTTGTCGATTTTTATAGAATGACAAAGTACCATTCCACATGTCAAGATGAACTCCAATAATGCTTCCTTGACCAAAACGGGGTGCATAGCACTGAGCTTCTCCTTGATGGTGGAACAGACCTGTGTAAGATAGGCCCCAGGAATCACAGTCAGAACCCAACAAACTGCAGAAAGTGTAGTGGTGCCGATCTAAGTCAATGGTTTCTGTTCCTACACCCACCATCTAAAAGGAAAAACTATTCTGTCATAAGTAGATGAAACTTATTCTAAATAAAAGTTGTATTTACAACTTTAAGCACAAACTGCTATGATACTGGCTTAAAGTTTGAGAAACAGTGGGAAACAAAGGCACTTTTAATCTTCTTTCTTATTTTACAAAGTCAACTTATTTAGGAAAAAACAAAAACAACAACAACATAAAAATTAATTGGCCAGTATTCACATCAAATATTTTTGAGACACAATTTATTTGAGGTATTTGCTTGGAATTAATAACTACTCTATTTTACACTAATAATGTAACACATAGGCACTTTTAGCTACACACAAAACTTGGTTCTATATCTGTTCTTTTTATAGTATGCTTTATTAAACTCCATTTTTATATGATTTTATAAACTTTCTTAAAAAAAATAAAAAATCTCAAACTGATTTTGGCTCCAGTTCTGGGGAATGCCCCCCCCCCTTCAATGTTTCACTACAACTTATGGTGTGTTTTTGTGTTACTTTCAAAAATGTATGTTGTACAACTAAGATAGAAGCATGCTAATCAATATGAATTAGTACTTAAGATCCGAGAAACCCATGTGCCTGTTGTAAAAACATGTGCATGAAAATCAGTCAACAAGTATACTTTGTGGTATCTAGATTTCAGATATTTTATGTATTTTTGTCAATAAAAAAAATCTGCAACATAGGTTAATAAACAAAGAAGAAGTTTTAATTCTTTAAGGGCCATATTTTATTATTATAATTTCTGTATGTAAGACATCATAAGATCATTGGCCACTGACCACAGCTATATATTCTAGCAAGTGAAAACACTGTTCAACAACAAAAGTATTAAATATCAATGACTATGACAATTTAATGAACTGTTTCAGTCTCATTTAACTTTTAATGTTATTTTGTGAATGCTGTAAATAAGGAGCTCACAAACTTTTTTTCTACTCACAACCCATCCGAGAAGCCAGGGCAATTTTATGGGAACTATGCTCAAGATATATTTCAGAAAAGTTTAGTAAGGTGCACATACTTTGCATTTTGTTTTGTTTGAACAAAAACATTTTAGTACTCTTATCTTAAAATTATTTTATGTACTACTGTGTCTTCTATAACTCACCCAACACCACTTGCAACCCAGCTGGTGAGTAGTAACCCACATTTGGAAACAGCTGCTGTGAATGAAAGCTGCTTCAACATAGGGTTTTGTACTCGGCGCTGAACTCCACTTTTTATATGAACTTAAAGTGCATTTTTTTAGTATATGAAGGATTAAAAGTCCTATCAAAAAGCATCAATAACAAATGTATTGATGTTAAAAAAAGCTATTTGGAAAATAATATGTTTGTCCAC